ATTTAAATAGAAGCAATTTTCAGGCACATCCTTTTCATTTAGTATCTCCTTCTCCATGACCGTTATATACATCCATTAGTTTATTAAGCCTTACTACATCTTCAGTTTTATCATTTCACGGATTTGCTTATGCAGAATACAATTTATTAATGAGTCTAACATCATTAATATTATCTATGTCATTCTGATTCAGAGATATTATAGCAGAGGGTAAAACGTGATTAAAAGGTACTATACTGTCTATTTATAATTCGAATATAGCTAAAGCTACTCCTATCGAAGACATAGAAAAAGCTTTAAGTATTTATAGAGCTAATAGTGATACTAGACTACTTACAAACAATAATTTGGGTTATTATTTAGCAGGTCTCTTAGAACACAAAAAGCCAGGATTGTTACAATTTTCTAATTTAAAATCCATAAATCCCTTACCTGTTACAGTGCTTTTTACAAGTAAAAGAAGTAAAAGTACTTATAGACCAGAAAGTACTTGTACGGCTTTAGTGGTTTGAGGGGTAAATCTCTACTCTGGCTTTAGAACACTAATATTATCCAATGTGGAGTTACACATGTTTAAACTGCCAAACTATCAACAAGGTGTTATAGTCGGTTTATTGTTATCGGATGGTTGGTTGTCTTATGCGAGTGCCAACAATAAGTATCCTCGTTTTGGTTTCGAACAAGCTTTTTCTCAATCTTCTTATGTATGGTCAGTTTTTGGTATATTATCTCATTATTGCTATAGTTTACCTATATTTAAAGCTAAAAATAGAAATAATATACAAACTAGTTCTGTCACTTTTGCTACTCGTAGTATGCCTTGTTTAGTAGAGTTTTTTAATGGTTTTTACCTTAACGGAAAAAAAGTTGTCCCTGAGAATATTTATCATAGATTAGCTCCTGTTTCTCTAGCTCATCTTATCATGGGTGATGGTACTGCTGTATCTGGTGGTACAATAATTTGTATTGATTCTTTTACTGTGAAAGATGTAGTTAGATTAATTAATGTGTTAATAATTAAATACAGACTTAAATGTACATTAAATATGGCGGACAACAAACCTAGATTATTTATTAGTTCAAAGTATATGGATTTATTGACATCCATTATAAATACCTACATTATACCTAGTATGAAGTATACATTACTAACACAATCTAGCTTATCTAGCCAAATAAAAAAGTAAGAGAGTTTGCGCCTTTGCAATATATTTCATCTACAAGGGCTATATGTATAAAAAACCTTCCATTTACAGCTGTTTTTTGTTATACAGAAAATCTAAAAGAAATTAGCATTAAGCACGCTATACCTCCGTACTTGTATAGCATTTTTATTGGTTTACTTTTATCAGAAGGTTGAGCCAATATTCACCGTAAAACAAATTCAAAAGCACGTATTAAATTCTGTCAACCTTATGTTAATAAGGAATATATTTATTACGTATTTAGAGAAATTCATATGTATTGTGAAAAAGACCCTTACCGTTTTAATAAAAACCCGAAAGGTAAACCAGTTGATGTTATATTATTGTCTACTAAATGGTTGTTCTGTTTTATTGAAATTTATTATATGTTTTATATCCAAAATGTAAAAAGGGTGCCTTGCAATATATATGATCTATTGACACCTTTTGTTCTAGCGCATTGAGTAATGGGTAGTGGTATAAGCTTACAAGGAAGAGGTATAATACTTTGTACTAATTTTAACAACATATTCGATAACGTTAAATTAATAAATGTATTAATGATAAAATATAGATTACGTTGTAATCTAAAACTAGAAAAAGATAAATACAGTATATATATTTATTGTTCTTCATTAAATACTTTATTAATGAGTATAAAACCTTATATTCCCTTACCTTATATAATTAAAAAATAATCTAATATACATATTTATATTCTCTGGGTCATATCTCTATTCCTGCTTTAGGTAATACAACTTTAAATCGAGTACTTAATCCTAGGATAGTTTTTACTTTACATATAAACAATTTAGGTTTGTACGCGTATATCCAATCAGAATTGGGTAATGTGGGACGTTTCCAAAATACAGGTAAAAATGTTTTTCGTTATATTATTGGGGACAAACATCGTATTATACTTTTAATTTAATACATGGTATACTTAGAACACCTTAAATTAAAAGATTTAATGATTTAATTAAATTTATTAATGCTAAATATTCTTTAGGTTTATCAGAAAGTTTAATAGATAATTCTAATTTTACAAACAATAGTTGGTTTACAGGCTTTACCTCTTTTTTTCAGCAAAATTAAAAGGGGGTAAATTTATAATGTAATACTAGCAGTTTACCTTAAATTATTAATAATTTAGGTATATTTAAATTATAAATATTCAGAACAAGTTTGAAAAAAAAAAGTATGTATGACAATAAGTACCAGTCTGTTTAAAAGTTTTATAATTTTAAATTTTATTGCTTCCGAATTAAGATTTAATTGTAATGCAAATAACTCATTACAAAAGAATTTATCTGCAAGACCGTCAAATAGAAAGAATTCAAATAATTCCTGTACTGCTTTAGTAGTCTGAGAAACTAATTTAGGGTCTACCACTAAATATGGTAGACTTACTAAGCTAGTAAGAGAAATGATAGTTTTACCTTTTTATCATGAAAGTATAGTAGTTGGTTTATTACTATCGGATGGTTGATTATCTCTTTCCCAATCTAATACTGTTAAAAATGCTAGATTCGTATTTAAACAGTCCTTAGATAAATTTGAGTATGTTTGATTCGTTTTTAATGTGTTAAGTCATTATTGCGAAAGATATCCTTATACATATTCTAATATTAGAGGGGGTAAAATTCACCCTAGTATAACTATAACTACTAGAGCTTTACCTTGTTTTACTTTACTTTAAAATAATTTTTATATTGACAATAAAAAGGTAATTCCTTCTAATATTTATGATATATTAACACCTGTGGCCTTAGCTCATCTAATCATGGGTGACGAGACATATTGGGGTGTAGGTATAAGACTATGTACTGACTCTTATTCATTACAGGATGTAGTAAGATTAATTAACGTATTAATTATACGTTACAGAGTGAATCCTACTGTGCATACAGACAGAGGTAGATATATAATTTATATCCCTAAAAACTCTGTGCTTATCTTAATACCTGTGCTAAAACCACATAAGGTACCTAGTATGCTTAATAAGTTAGGTATTTAATTCGATATTTTACTTTATTAATTTTATATTCTTTATTATTTTTAAAAAATATAAAATTAATGTAACCGGGTTATATAATAAATTGTTTATCTTTGTTTGTATTAAACTTTCATTTTGGGATTAAATATGTCGAAAGCAAAGCTAAATCAAATACTCTAAAAGATAAGTTAGTGAAAACATTAGTCTTAAATTTAGATTGAATCAACGTTTATACAACAAGCCTACATCTTCTTCCATGAAACCTTTTATGGAAAGTTTAGCTTTATTTTTAGCTTGTAATCTTAAAAGTTATACTAATAATACAGGCTCAGATATATTATCTATAGGTGTATCATCTATAAATAGTGTTAAATTTATTATGGATTATTTTAATAAATATCACTTATTGGGTAACAAGCTTAATGAATTTAAAAAATGAGAGATTGTCTATAACATGATTATATCTAAAAAACATATTACTGATAAAGGTAGACTAAATATTAGATCTTTGATAGGCAAACTATAAAACTATAAAAAGATTATAAAAACAGTATTGTTACATTTATGTGCTCTCTTAAAATTTAACTAATTGCTGGAAACTCTTATTATAATAAGACAATCAGCAGGAAACAAACGGATGGATAAATATCCTAGTAGGATCTTCAGAGACTATATGTTAAAAATTAATACGTGAATAGTAGTATGTTTAACCTATTAATTAAGATATAGTCCAGTAAATATAGAAATATATTTTTTATTGACATATTTAGGTAATCATACGAAAAATAATAAGTCTAAATTACATCTAACTAAATTTAAATTTAACCCTTTTTACTCTAAAAAGGGTATGGTTAGAAGACTTCATACAGGAACAACAAATCAGTTAGGTTATTATCTTGCCGGTTTAATTGAAGGAGACGGATCTATCATACTTAGAAAGGGTGAAAAGGAAAAGATTTCACCCAAAATCGTTTTTACTTTTGGTAAAAATGATATTCCTATGTATGAAAAATTACAGAAAACTTTAAAAAAAGGGATAATATATACAGAAAAAAGGGGAGTTTGCAGATATAGTATTACTAATGCCGATGAGGTTATTAATACCGTTAACCTTGTTAATGGTAAATTCCGTACTCCCAAGATCCTAGCTTTATATAAAGCTATAGACAATCTTAATAGGTGGCGAAACGCTAATATAGTTAAATTGCCTTTAGATACTAGTAGCATAGATTCTAATGCTTGATTAGCTGGTTTCATAGATACAGATGGCCATTTCTCTATAAAATTAACTGGTGAGTACGCATCGAATGATAATGTTACCCGAGGAAGGGTAAGATGTTTGTTCTCTATAAATCAAAGTGAATTAAATAGAGTAACAAGGGAATCCAATGTTCCTTTTATGACACAATTGGCCAATTTTTTTCAAGTTAATTTAAATCATAAAGTGGAAAATTCTTCACTTTTTAAAGAGCCAGCTAAAACAATAGTGTTTTTTGCTCAATCTGACAGAAAACATTACATTATTACTACCTATTTAACTAAATTTCCCCTAATGTCTAGCAAGTATCTTAATTATTTATCTTTTTTCAAAGGGTTAAATTATCTAGGTAAAAGGTTAACAGAACAAGAAATAATGGAGATACGGGCTATTAAAAGTTCTATGAATAATAGCCGTACTTCTTATAATTGAGACCATCTTAATGCTTTTTATACTTAGTATTTTTTTTCCCCACCTGTTATATTTATTTTTCTAGATTGGTACCCGCTAGTCTTTTCGTATACCATCAACAAATCGTTGAAGGTATTTTACTAACATTTTTATGTGTATAGGTACGAATTTTTTAATATGTCATATTAAGATGCGAGTAGGGGGGGGAGGGGTGAACCCTTACACCTCCCCCTATCTCTGGAGACTAGTGCACACAATGTCGGTTAAAATGACATATTTAGGTAATCACACCCTGGCTGTACAGAGAGGGTTAAACCTTGGTGTTGCTTTATTCATAGTATCTGAAGCTTTATTTTTCTTAGCTATATTCTGAACATTTTTCCATAGTGCTCTATCTCCGGCAGTTGAATTAGGGGCTATGTGACCTCCAATGGGAATTGAAGCGATAGATCCTTTTGAACTTCCTTTAATTAACACAGTTCTTTTATTAGCTTCAGGATTTACTGTAACATATGCACATCATTTTTTAATTAACGGAAAAAGAGGTAAAGCTTTATATGGTTTATTATATACTATTATATTAGCAACAATATTTACAGCACTACAAGGTGTTGAATATTCAGTTTCATCGTTCACTATTTCAGACGGAGCTTTTGGATCATGTTTTTACTTTGGAACAGGGTTAATTCTGGCCCCTATTTTAAATAACATATATATGAAAATTAAAATATCTAACTATTCAACGGTTAAAGCTCAAGATAAGAGCTCTAACCCCATAAATTCTACTAGTAATTTAAATCCTAATTGAATAACAGGATTTTGTGATGCTGAATCTAGCTTTTCTGTTAGAATAGCTAAAGATGAAAAAAGGTTTAAATCTTTACGTATAGCACCAATTTTTACGATAGAACTACATGAAAAAGATTTTGATTTACTTAAACAAATAAATGCTTTTTTCACAGTAGGTACTATCATAAAAAGAGTTAAAAATGGTAATCCTAGCGTAATATATTCGGTTCAATCCATTAAAGCACTAAAAGATGTAATAATACCTCATTTTAACAAATATAATCTATTAACACAAAAGAGAGAAGATTTCCGTATGTTTTCTTTAGTAGTAGATATACTTTACAATGGTCAACATAAAACTGAAGAAGGTTTAAACAAAATATTATCTAACAAAGCCTCTATAAGTAAAGGTTTATCAAAGTCATTATTAAACATGTTTCCCAATATTATACCTGCGGCAAGAAACCTAATATTATCTACCAAAGATTTTAATCCATTTTGAGTAGCGGGGTTTGTTGACGGTGAAGGTTGTTTTTATATAAAAACATCCAAGACCCATTCAGGGTATAGAGTAAGTCCGTATTTTTATATAGCACAACATATACGTGATATAGATTTACTAGAAAATTTGGTAATTTATTTAAATTGTGGTTTAGTAGAAACTGTGAAAACTAGACCTACTCAATCTAGTTATGTAGTATATAAATTTAATGATATTAGTAATAAAATAATACCTTTTTTTGAAAAATACACTTTAAGAGGAAATAAATTACTAGATTTCTATGATTTCAAAAAAGTAGTTAATATTGTAGGAGAAATTAACAAGTACGATGAACATCGTGCTACATTAAAAGAAATTTTAAAAATAAAAAGAAATATGAATAGAAATAGATAAATTTGCATAAATTTATTAATTAAAATAGAAAATGGGGTAAATAGCATGAAACTCCATCATTATTATAAGGCGCTGCCCATAAGATAATATGGACAATGTGCGGCGAAGCATGTATTTAATAAATTTTTAAAAAAAGTTACACAAACAATAATCTTTATTTTAAGGGATACATGAAGCCTCAACGACTAGTAGATGAGTACTTTATTTACAATAATTCTACCACGAACACCCCACATTTATAAAAAAAATACTTTATAAATGAAGACATAGTCTGAACCATTCTGATAAAGAATGGATATAAGAGATAAAGAGCTCTTATGATAACAAATTTGTCCACGGATTAATTACAGCAGTCCCTACCAATTCTTTTATGTCATTGGATAATCAATTTAGTGTAAAAACCAATTCAGTTCTTACTTTAGAATCAAATAAAAAATTAATTCATTTAGACAAGAATTTTATTGATTGATTAGTAGGATTTACGGACGCTGAAGGTAATTTTAATATTAGTTTAAAAGGTTTACAAGGTAATAAATATAATAATTTAAATTTAACTTACCAAATTACTCTGCATATAAATGATTTATATGTTTTAGAATATATTAGAAACAGATTAAATTGTGGAAGTATTTCTAAATCAGGTGATAAATGTAATTATTTTGTAAATGATCAAAAATCACTAATAAATGTTATAGTACCTATATTTAATTATAGAGAGTTAAAGAGTTCTAAATTCTTTCAATATTTGAATTTTAAAAAAGCAGTTCATTTATTAATAGATAAAAAACATTTAACTTTTAAAGGTAAAATAGATATCTTACAATACTATAACGATATGAAACTTATAAATCAAAATTCTAAAGCTAGAGACAATATGATTATAGATGAGTACTGATTAATAGGATTTACAGAAGGAGATGCGACTTTTAGTTCAAATAAATTAAAACCAAAAATAAAGTATGAATCACCAAAAATAAAACATGAATCAAAGGGTTTGTTCACTACCAATAAAGTAAATACTGTACCTAAGAGAAATCCCGGTCGAGATCATACAACAAAAATGAATTATTCCTCTCTAGCTACTAATCCTTTACAAATGAAACTAAATCCTAGTTATATAACAGGGTTTGTCGATGGGGAGGGTTGCTTTTCAATAGCTATTACAAAAAACTCAGATCTTAAAACAGGTTGAAGAGTACAAGCTATATTTTCAATCCATCTTCATAAAAAAGATCGGGATATCTTGGAGGGAATCAGATCTTATTTTGGTAGTGCAGAAATCCTTACTACACCCGAAAAAGACAGTGTTCAGTTTCGTGTTAATTCTTTACAAGGTTTAATTAAAGTAGTGGAGCATTTTAATAAGTATCCTTTAATTACAAAAAAAGCCGCTGATTATAAACTTTTTGAAACGGTTGTTTTAATGATGGTTCGTAAAGAACATTTAACAATACAAGGATTACAAAAAATAATTAATATGAGAGCTACACTTAATTGAGGGCTAACAGATGAATTAAAGAAAGCTTTTCCTGACACTATTCCCGTTATAAGGCCTTTAGTTGAACAACCCCAAAGTTTAGATAATGATTGAATAGCTGGATTTGTATCCGCTGAGGGCTGTTTCATGATTAAAATTAAACCATCTATAACTAAATTAGGTGAGACTATTCATTTAGAATTTCAAATAACTCAAAATAACCGGGATGAACGATTAATGAAAAAACTCGCTTCTTATTTCAAAGCTGGAAAATGCTATGATACAGGTAAAGCAATTGATTTCAGAGTTGCAAAATTATCTGATATTACTGAAATAATTATTCCGTTTTTCGATAAATATAAAATCCAAGGAGTAAAATCTATAGATTTTAAAGATTTTAAACGAGTAGCCGAACTAATGAAAAAGGGGGGTCATTTGACTTCTGAAGGTTTAGAAAAGATTCGTTTAATCAAAGCTACGATTAATAAGGGAAGAAAATAAATCCAGTTGGTTTGTTGCTCAAAAAAAAAACAACTGGTTGGGAATTAGAATTATTTAAAAGTATTTTAAATAACTTAAAACATGGTAATTTATATACATCCGATAGAAAGTCAGCTGGTTCTGTAATATTAGAAATTAATAATATTAATATTTTAATGAACAGAATAATACCTATTTTTTCTAAAGGTATGTTGACTAAAAAATCTTTAGACTTTGAAGATTGATCTATGATAGTTAAAATTACTTATTATGGGTATCATACTTTAGATGAAGGTAAAGAATTAATTTATCTCATTAAATCTAATATGAATAATTTTAGATTAAATCCGGATTTTCTTACAAACTATGATAAAAATAAAGCGTTAATCGAGCAAAAGTTAAATTATCTATTATCGTTGCCAACCCCTTATGAAGTAAAACAGGGAATTTTATTTTTAAGAGGTACTGATAAATTAGTGTCGAAATTTTTTAAAATAAAAGTAGAAGATACTAATGGTAAGGTACAATATTTTTCTAGTATATCAGAGTGTAGCTTAAATCTTAACATACCTAGTAAAATAATTAAAAATTGTTTATTATCAGGTCTTCACCATAAAAATTACACGATTAAATTTGATACCATTATTGAATAGAGTTGACAGAAAACAGAATAAATTGCATGGAACTCCTACTTTACCATTCATATGTGTTTATGTAGGACAATATGCAGCCAAGCATATATTAAATAAAATTAAAAGGAATATATGAAGGTTTAACGACTAGTAGGTGAGTACTTTATTTACAATAAGCCTACCACGAAATCCTGCAATCATTTATTGATTGATGACATAGTCTGAACCCTTTTGAAAAGAAAGGGGAAGTAAGGGATAAGGAGCCCTTACGATAACAATTATTGTACATGTAATGATAGGATCAGCATTTTTAGCTGTTGGTCTATGACGTGTATTAGCATATCATTTAACAAATAATCATCATTTAGGATTAGAAGCTGGGATACTGTATTGACATTTTGTTGATGTTGTATGATTATTCTTATTTGTGTCCATATACTATTGAGGATCTTAAGATATCTACTTGTATAATTTATGCCTATACTTATACTTATACTAGTACTCATTCGGATATAATATATAAATCCGAAGGGTCTAGCAACGATTATGGGGATAAAGGTGTTACTGATAAGAACGATGGAGCCAACGAGGAGGAGGAAAGTTTTGAATTAGAAGAAGAAATAGAACATATTGAAAAACTAATGAGAGCTTCAAATGATGCTATGATTTTAGATGAAAAACTTCCTGATTCTGAAAAAGAGAAAAATTCACACTTAAAGGGTCTAAGAAAGGATCCTCATGTTAAAGATTTTTTTGAAGGGAAAACTCCTAATGTAAGCGATTTACCAGAATTAAATAAAGCTCTTGTAGAAGCTAGGAAAGAAAAAATAAAAGAATTATCTGAAGCTAAATATTATGCTAATGAGGAATCATCTACTAATTCTCTAAGAGATAAATCTAATTCAAGTTTGCATGAATCAGATAATACTTTAAATAAGAAAGAAGATAATCATAACTATTCGGGTTATAAAGTATTACCTAGTTTATTAGAAACTATGATAGAAATTTTAAATAATCTTTTTGGTTAGAACTTTTTTCTCGGATAGGTACAGTATTTTTAGCGGTAGGACTGTGGCGTGTACTAGCCTATCATTCAACCAATAATGATCACTTAGGATTAGAAGCTGGAATACTTTACATTTTGTAGATGTTGTTTGATTATTTTTATTTGTGTCCATATATCACTGAGGGTCGTAAGGTTAAATAGTAAGGTTAACCCTTCAGATTAAATGGTATTTCTTACCATACTTTCTCAGAATATTTTAGCGGGAAGACAGCGAGACTTTTTTTAGTTAAGTTATTTGTAATAACTGCGAGACTTTTTTCTAGTTAAGCTGGGGAGTTCGAACCTCTCTATTCTGAACATGCTATTTTTATCTATAATTTTATTATTATTATCTAATGCTATTACATCAAGACGAGACAAATCTATTCTCTATTCAAGAGCTACTATTACCGTTTTACTAATTGCAGCTTTTATAGCCTATGACAATTTATTTATTTTGTTTTTAGCAAAAGGTATTGGTATATTTGGTGGACTTTTCCATACAACAGCTACTACCAATTTTTTCCATGTATTTATTTGTATAATAACTAGTGTTATATTGTTATTAACTTCATTTTACCCCAGAAAAATTTGATTAAAAGAGTTTAGTAGTCCAAATAGACTGTTATTTACCAAATTGATCTATAACGGAACTCTCATTTTAAATAAAATGGGAGAACAATTTAAGATTATAGAATACTCTCTAATTATTTTATTTATAGTTACAGGAAGTGTATTTCTAATCTCTACTAGCGATTTAGTATCTATATTTCTATCTGTAGAATTACAGAGTTATGGATTGTATTTACTATCAACTATTTACAGAGATTCAGAACCAGCCACATCCGGTGGTCTTATGTATTTTTTACTAGGAGGATTGTCATCCTGTTTTATACTACTAGGGACAGCATTACTCTATGCTAACGCTGGTACTACTAACTTAGATAGCTTATATATTATAACTAGTATATCTAATGTAAGCAAAGATAATATTACCGATGTACTTTATTGATATAAATCTTACTATTTACATGTTAGTTTAATATTTATGGCTGTAGGATTTTTATTTAAAGTATCTGCTGCCCCCTTCCATTTCTGAAGCCCTGAAGGATGATGTGGGAAATCATCCATAACACCGTCATCGTGTTTACGGGGCAAACTGCCAAATTCCGGGGACCCCCTAAAAATCCAAGTACCAAGCTATAGTATAAAGGCTATAGGTGAATGAACTAATTACTCATGTAAGGTAACAACCTTGGAAGCTTCTGAAAAGAATATGGGTAATCGCGGATCTAAATCAGTCACTGTTTTATCTCTAAACCCTTTGCTAATTTTTGCACATTAAAATTGTATCTCCCTCATTTACTCCTTCCCTGTGCTGCACTCTAATGTGTCACTTTTCTCTTCTACTTCGACTTTATTAGTACATGTGAAACATTCCAGAACGGCTTTACTTTGTGGAAAACAAAACCTTTATAAGAGTAGTCCTACGAAACCACACAGACACGGGTTATTTCGTGTTTATTCTACTAATTCTTCATCTATTGCACCGTCTTTTCAGCCAGTAAATATATATAGAAATGCTGATAAAGATAAGGTCTTAGTACTAAAAGAAAATAGAGGTAAATCCGGGGTATATAGCTGAACAAATATAATTGACGGAAAAAGATATGTAGGTAGTAGTATTAATCTAGAGATAAGATTGAAATGTTACTATAACATTTATTTCTTAGAATCAGGAATAAAAAAGCCTCGGCGTCTTCTTTGCTCTGCAAAGAAGACTGAGGCTGCTGCGCTGAGGAAAAGTTTGATCTACAGTGGTTTGCTGAAGTATGGATATTCTAATTTTACTTTAGAAATCCTGGAATATAGTGATTCATCCGAAACTATACAAAGAGAGCCATATTATATGGATATATTAAAACCAGAATATAATATTTTATTAACAGCTGGTTCTCGATTAGGTTCCAAACATTCTGAAGAAGCAAAAGCCAAAATATCTGCTGCGGCTGTAGGTAACAAAAACAGTACAGGAGGTAAAGGGCGTAAAGGAGCAGAAGGAGCAGAAAATCCTAGTGTACCGGTAGAAATACTTGATAAGGACACTGGAATAAAAACAACATATACTTCAATGAGTGAAGTAGTGGAAGCCTTAGTTGTACCTACAGGAAGTATTAGAATATATTTTTCTAAAAATACCCAGACGCCATATAAAGGAATATATTTATTGCAAAAATTAAAAAAGGTTTAAATAGTGACTGTAAAAGAGCAACGAGTATACGGTAGTTGATATGATTTATCATATTTAAGATGTATTCTATCAGGTTTCGAGAGAAACCGTTCAGTAAAAATCCCTTCTAACCAAGTTATGCCAAGACGATTTTATACAACTAGCCCCCGGGCCCCCGTAGGGGCCTGGGCGGGGACTTGTCCACGCCTTGGGGCAAGGCTCGGACCCCCCCCCCCCTTCGCAGGGGGGGGGGGCGGGGAAAAGAAAAAAATTAAACCCAAAAAATCTTTTCCTAAAATTCCACCCTTATTTTTGAAAAGGTTTATCTTTATTTTTTTTTTTTTTGTTTAATCCCCCACCCACATAAGGCAAAAAAAAAAAAAAAAAAAAACTGCCAAAGGGGGTTTTCCCCTTATTGGCCCTAAAAAACCCAAAAACCGCCCCCGGTGGAAAATCGAAACCTATTTTTTTATTAATCCTTCTAAAAAAAAAGTTTAAATCTTTAAAACTTTTTACAAATTTTTTTGGGGGATAGGACGAAAAAATTAAAAAAAAAAAGATTGTCGGGGTTTTTCAGATAGTTTTTTAAAACAAAACACCCCCAAAAATAACCCCCCTTTTAAATAAAAACCCCTAAACCATCAAAAAGCTTGGGAATAAAATTTAATT